TGTGGGTGTGGGGTGTGGGTGTGGGGTGTGGGTGTGGGGTGTGGGTGTGGGGTGTGGGTGTGGGGTGTGGGTGTGGGGTGTGGGGTGCTGGTATAGATGCGGGTGTGTGGGTGTGGGGTGTGGGCGTGGGCGTGGGTGTGGGGTGTGGGCGTGGGCGTGGGTGTGGGGTGGTGTGGATGTGGTGTTGGTGTGAATGAATAAATGACCCTATCTTCAAAACACACCCACACCCATGTGTTCAAGAAGGCCAATTTATTTTTTGGCTTAAAAAAGAAGTAATTACATTTTGTTTTTGAGAAGTTCAATGTTTCTTTCCGTAAGTGCGGTACTTGGGTGTCCTGGAGGAAGAGCGGTTTTCTTGATTTGTAGTGCCTTTTCATAATGCGAAAGCGCTTTCGAATATTCGCGCATGTCATCATACATCGCACCGATGTTATTGTAGGAAGCGGCCAAGTCGAGATGATTCGGAGGAAGAGCTATTTTTTTTTATTTCAAGCGCTCGTTCATGCGATGAGAGTGCTTTTGAGTATTCGCCCATGTTATTATACACCATACCGATGTTATTGTAGGAACCAGCCAAATCGGGATGATTCGGAGGGAGAGCCATTTTTTGGATTTCAAGTGCTCGTTCGAACGATGAAAGTGCTTTCGGATACTCACCCATATGATAATACACTGAACCGATGTTGTTGTGGGACTGAGCGAAGTCGACATGGTGCTGAGGAAGAGCTATTGCCCGGATTGCAAGTGATCGTTCGTACGATGAAAGTGCTTTCGAGTACTCTCCAATGTTCATATACACCAAACCGATGTTGTTGTAGATACTGGCTAAGTCGGGATGATTCGGAGGGAGAGCTATGTTGTAGATTTCAAGTGATTGTTCGTACGATGAAAGTGCTTTCGAGTACTCGCCCATGTCCTTATACACCGAACCGATGTTGTTGTAGGATTGAGCGAAGTCGACATGACGCGGAGGAAGAGCTATTCTCCGAATTTCAAGTGATGGTTCGTATGATGAAAGTGCTTTCGAATACTCACCAATATTTGCATACACCAAAGCGATGTTGTTGTAGGATGTAGCCAAGTCCGGATGATTCGAAGAAAGAGCTATTTTTTGGATTTCAAGTGCTCGTTCGTACGATGAAAGTGCTTTCGAGTACTCGCCCATGTGATGATACGCCACACCAATGTTGGCGTAGGAAGTAGCCAATTCAGAATGCTTCGGAGGAAGAGCTATTTTTCGGATTTCAAGTGATCGCTCGAACGATGAAAGTGCTTTCGAGTACTCGCCCATGTTATAATACACATTACCGATGTTGCTGTAGATAGTGGCTAAGGCGGGATGATTTGAGGGAGAGCTATGTTTTGAATTTCGAGTGATCGTTCGTATGATGAAAGTGCTTTTGAATACTCACCCATGTTAGAATACACATTACCGATGTTGATGTAGGTAGTAACTAAGTGGAGGTGATCTGGAGGGAAAATTATTTTTAGAATTTCGAGTGCTCGTTCGTAAGATGAAAGTGCTAGCGAATACTCGCGCATGTTACAATACAGAGCGCCGGTGTTGTTGTAGGATGTAGTTAATTCCGGATCATCTGAAGGGAAAGCTAATTGCCGGATTTCAAGTGCTCGTTCGTACGATGAATGTGCTTTTGAATAGTCACCGGTGTAATAATACACCTTACCAAGTTGGTCATTGTAGTCCGCTCTATCTTTATCGGAAGACGCCTTTTCGAGAAGGATCTGGTAGAGTTGTTCCGCTTTTGCGAACTCGCCCACATTCATAAGTATATGACCTAATTGAGACCATCCTGTTGTCCAACTGAACTCCTCGCGTATACTTTTCGTGAGTGTATCTAGGTCATTGTTGTCATTGTCGATTAAGGTTAGATCAACCTGCCATAATCGATCAGTATGATCGTCATGGATTCGTTCAATTCGATCGATACGAAAAATTGTGTGTGACGAAAAAAGAATTTCTTCCTCTTGATCTTCGAAGAAGCCGACGTTTCTCACATCAACAAAAGGAATCGATGATGTTGTGCATAATATAGGATCGATGGCCATAACAAAGAGTATGCCAACTGAATGAGCATCATAGTTGAGTGCTACAGGCCGTGCAAAAATTTCAAGGGATAAACTGCGATTGCGACTCGTTGAGAGAAAATTATTAAAAGATATCAGCCCACCTTCTGTTTTTCTCATTTTCTCAAAGTTTTCTATAGATAAGCTTTGACCTCGAAAAACTTAGAACGGAGTATTCGTCGTTGGATTGGTGGATTGTTGTTCACAATGTAGATTTTTAATACGCGGTTGTTCGCATAGTATATCATCATTTTTTCATATTTGATCGAAGAGAGGGAAGACGTTGTTTGTTTAACTCTGAGAGTTAATGCGATTCATCGTAAATCGTAAGATTTTTTTAAAAATTTGTCTCTTTGATATAATGTCTATGCTTTCATCAAAATGACATTGGAGGTGAGAAGTCAATATGGTCTTCGGGGTTTTTGGAGCACGAAAAAGCCATTAAAAGTTCATTTTAATGGTCAATTTTGAAGCTTTCATAAAAATCCGAGGTAAATCTAATGCAGCTGAGTGTTTAGCTGATTCAGGCAGGTTCCTTAACAGACAGACAGTTTCATTCTTTTTTATTCATTTTTAAGCATCATTTCTGCTAATCGAATTATCATCATTGCATGAATGAATGTATTTTAAGAAAATCATCAAATGATTTTGATATATACACATTTCCCAGTCATTATCTTTCTGTGGAAAAATTATTATTAAAATCATGTAATTTACCTGACTTTTCGGCTGTGCCACATTCAATGAATAGATCATATCTAAAATGCATGTGGAATAGTTAGAATTAATAAATTCTGTCCATATTCCTTTTCTAAGATAAAATTGTGGGTAAACGAATGGCGTGAGAGGCGATTAACATAAGGAACAGAGAAAGACATTAGCGAACGGCTATACCTTTCAATCGTGTGTGATGGTTAGTAATATTCAAGTTTGTAAAGCTGTTCAATTGCATACGAATATTAATTATTGTTGGTTCATACAGTAAGGAGGTGCGCATAGGATAGTAGAGGAACCATTTTTATCATTTATGTCTCTTCTGTTTTGGCAACACTGTAGAAAACAGTATGAAGCGACAATGATAATGAAGGAATGATGTGAGTGTTGGTGTGGGTGTCGGGTGTTGCAGTTCTCTTCGCCAATACCCACACCCATACCCTTTAGTACGAACCACAATTGATACACTATGGTGGTCCTTAATAATCACTTTAACCAGCAATACGCCATTATTTAGACTAGATTTAGTCTCAATAAAAAATTGACTGCAGATTGATGATCAACATGAAAAACTGGGTATGAAACTGAATATAAGAATGCAATTTGGTTGAATAAAGTTGCAAAAATGATGTTGGGGATAGTTAGCCTGATTTCATCTCAGACTATATATTTATACACGTCTTAGTCAAGCTATCTAGATTGTCGTAGAAACAGAGGAAATAAAGTATTTGATCTCATATCAGATCATCAGACTTCAAACTTCAAACTTCAACAGTCCCTTTTTATTTTCTCTTGATTTTCTTTTCATCTTGAGAAAATAGAATTTTTCTTCATATTAGTACCAAATTCATATAAAATCAGTAAAAATTGCGCTGGTTTTTGACAAGTTTCTATATTATAGTTCATTTTTGAAACAAAATAAATAACATATTCGGGATCAGCACAAAAACTACATTCAATTACATATAATTATTTGACGAAAATTAATTTTTTATGATAATCGGTTGTACAGGTAGCACGGCCAAACTTTTCGGACAGAAAAAAGGTTGAGAGAGGGAGTACGGGCAAGTTTTTAACGAAAAATTAATTTTCGTCAAGTATATGTGATTGGATATAGTTTTTGTGCTGATTCCGAATATGTTATTTATTTTGTTTCAAAAATGAACTATAATATAGAAACTTGTCAAAAACCAGCGCAATTTTTACTGATTTTATATGAATTTGGTACTAATATGAAGAAAAATTCTATTTTCTCAAGATGAAAAGAAAATCAAGAGAAAATAAAAAGGGACTGTTGAAGTTTGAAGTTTGAAGTCTGATGATCTGATATGAGATCAAATACTTTATTTCCTCTGTTTCTACGACAATCTAGATAGCTTGACTAAGACGTGTATAAATATATAGTCTGAGATGAAATCAGGCTAACTATCCCCAACATCATTTTTGCAACTTTATTCAACCAAATTGCATTCTTATATTCAGTTTCATACCCAGTTTTTCATGTTGATCATCAATCTGCAGTCAATTTTTTATTGAGACTAAATCTAGTCTAAATAATGGCGTATTGCTGGTCAAAATGATTATTAAGGACCACCATAGTATATCGATTGTGGTTCATACTAAAAAACGGGGACCGTATCTCTGCGCATTGAGTGTTATATCAAAAGATGCAGAAGTTGAAGAACTTTCAGAAACTGAATTTATTCTTTTTGTGCATAAAATCATTCAACGAGGTTACAGGCAAATTACTGGCTAAACGATGACTATAAATCATAGACTTTTCTCCCTTGTGATGGCACCATCGATTGCTATAACTTATTATAATGATTAGTGGAATAGTTCATTTTGTAGAAAACTCTTTTCTGCATCTGTTGAGACCTCTCTCGACTTAAAGCGATAAGAAGAGGCCGAGAAAATCTAAAAAAAGCATCAAAATTTTGAAAAAAGCCATTCCTCTTGATTTTTATGGTCTCACCACAAAAACAAATCGAAGATTGTGACCTTCGACATTTTTCACAAGTACTTCAGAAAAACTTGATACTTTGGGTTTATAGATTTCTCCATATGATCTTTCGTTTACGCGAAAAAAAAACAAAAGAAAATTTGGAAGCGGTCACTCTTATGTGAGCTTGGTCGGCGTTCTGGAGAAGCCTCTCGTAAAACAGCGCAAAAAAACTGAAAATAAACTAGGTCGAATAATTTTGATATTCACTATATCTATGTCAAATCCGTTTTTCCGTCTTTCTCGAACAAAAACCAACATATGTCTGTCTGTCTCTGTGATATGTATGTATTTATCAGGCTATCTCTGTATGTCATTCTTATATCCTCCAATCATATGTATGATTGATATAAATCTATACATATTGTATACTGCTACTGGGTGATATATGTGAGTTGTTTGTATCTCTCTTGCTTGTTGAGTTGACATTCAATCTTTGCGATATATCTTAAACTGAAACTGCCGTACTTTTGGAAAAAAATCATGATCACAGGATGTGGGTGTGCTGCGTAGTCGTTGATTGCGGAGTGACGGTCCTAGCGCAGCAAGCACACTGTAATCCTAGGCATGCGCGACTCAATCTAGAAGAAAACTACAACTGCATACATATGCTTGTATGAATTTAGAACAACTTCTATGCTCATGTAAGTGTCGAATGAAGAAACCCATTTTAAGTATAATATCGACGTCCATTAATCGTAGACCACGATTGAGCATCGAGTATATAAAATATGGAGCCGTGTACCACCATATGGGTGTGTGGTTATGATATTCCTGTCCGATCTTATCAACATGCTTTTTGGTAATATCACTTTGAAGGCGACAATAGTTAACAAGTTCTTTAAGTAATTTATCGTCGTCATCATCAATTTCCAAAAATGTTTCTTTAAGCAATTGCGTGTACATAAACAACACATCGATCCCATGATAACTGATCGGAATCAGAGCTCGATCGCAATGCTCACAAGCGATTTTTAATGCTTCACACATCGATTCGATTTTTGTGTATACGCCTTTTACTTTAGATGTTGTTATGGTCCATCGTTCTTGAATCGATGGATTGTCACAAAAAACATATATGGAGTCTAATTGTGGGCATGCTTGAATTTCTGATATTATATTTTGTTCCAGTGTACCGGACACAATCATGAATACTTTTTCATCTTGAATGTCAGTGAGAAAGTCAATAAATTGGCTAGCGTCTGTAAATGTTGTAATGGTTGCTACAATATGTTGTAGATGTTCTATTGATTTTTTATAATAATCTTTTGATTCATCAAAATTGGCGTCAAGCCAGATCACAAGAAAATTTTGCAGAATCCGACGAAAAGGTCGAGACAGCACAGCATTACCATTGGTAGCGGTCACCGCTGCTCGTTCACTAACAGTAGTTGTTGGCAATTTTTGGTTGTCCATAATGAATGAATGCAGTAAGTAAGTCGTCGTCTTCTACACATATGATGGTTATTTCTTTTTGTCGACATTCTTTT